AAAAAAAAAAATATTTCTAGGATAAGATGGAAGATTTAATTTCCATTCATCTCTAAACCTCATTAAAATTACAGAAAAGGAATTGTGTTTCTCCTTTGTAAAAAATATCGTTATCGAATGCATTGGTCTTAATATGTATATATTCAGTTTTACTCAATTGCAGCTATTCTTTTTGATGTTTAAGCGATCCCATATTTTGCCAATGGAAGCCCCTTTTTGTTGGCTTGTAAGTCCTTCACATGACCCATTGATTTTTTGATAGTTTCCTTGATTTCTGGTATAACAAGATGTCTCAGGCTCCTTTTGTATATATTCTGTCCCATACACATAATCTGCTATACCTTTGAGAAACCTTGGTTTGTGTGTGTGTATGTGTGTATATATATTTTTTTTAATGGAGAATCATATTTACAAGCTGTATAAGTAAAGATCCAGGCAAGAAAACAGTGACCACGATACTTCTTTTAATAGAGAAAATTTAATTGATGAAATTAGTTAAGCAGGTATTGGACATCTGAAAAGGGAAAATGGAGGTAACTGCGGGAAGCATTACAACTTCTAGGGCTGGGGGAATAAAGGGGAGAGATTGGGGTTATTAGCACTTGGAAATCTGAAAGAAGGGCCTGGTGGTGCTGGCACCCAGGAGGAAGCACTGCCTAGCTGGCACTGGTACCTTTGAGGGAATTCTGGGAAAGCCTAAAGGAGCTGGAGACAGCAGCTGACTGCTATGGCCAGGGTAAGGGGCATTGCTGGGCTGATTGACAGAAATAGCAAGCATACAGGAAGGAGCAGCAAGTCAATTCTCCCCTCTTCTAGCCTGGTGCTCCCTATTGAAAGAACCAAATAGGAAGCAAGCCTGGCAAACCAGTTGCCACTGAGTGGATTTCAACACATGGTGAGCCCATGTGTGTCAGAGTAGAACTGTGCTCCATAGGATTTTTTTTTTAAATTGTGCTTTAGGTGAAAGTTTACAGAACAGGCTAGCTTCTCATCAAACAATTAGTACACATATTGTTTTATGACATTGGTTAGCAACCTCACAATATGTCAACACTCTCCCTTCTTGATGTTGGATTCTGGTTTTCCTGTCTACTCCTGCCTTCCAGTCCTTGCCCCTGGGCTGGTGTGCCCCTTTAATCTCGTTTTTTATGGGCCTGTCTAATCTTTGACTGAAGGGTAAACTTTAGGAGTGACTTCATTACTGAGT